TGGCTGGGCATGGTGGCGCATGCCTGTAGTCCCAGCTACTCGGGAGGCTGAGGCAGAAGGATCGCTTGAGCCCAGGAGTTTGAGGTCACTGTGAGCTAGGATGACGCCATGGCACTCACTCTAGCCCGGGCAACAGAGTGAGACTCTGTCTCAAAGTACAACTAAAAATATATAGAAAAAATTAGCTGGGCATGGTGGCGCATGCCTGTAGTCCCAGCTACTCGGGAGGCTGAGGCAGGAAGGTCGCTTGAGCCCAGGAGTTTGAGGTCACTGTGAGCTAGGATGACGCCACGGCGCTCTAGCCCGGGCAACACAGAAAGACTCTGTCTCAAAAAAAAAAAAAGAAATACTATCTGAATTATCTTTAGGGACCAGTTTGTGTGTTTTCCACTGTTGTAAGTCTCGGATTCAGCAAACGTCAGGCACCTGACTTGTTTTCCACACAGGTGGACACTGGTGGGAAACTACCAAGACTTAAACCACATGCAGCTTCCCTTTTGTGCTCTTAGAACAAAACCCCAAATCCCTCATTAGTCTTTCCAAAGCACTCACTACCACGTCTTTGTCCTGTGTTGCTCCCCTCACTACTGTCACTTCCTGCCTTCCTGAGTCCCTGCCGTCCTTTGCTGGGATTTCGGCCAAGTCCAACAGAAGGTCACCTTGTAGTAAAAGAGCCTTCGTTTTGTCCTTGAGTGCTGTTTTGATTTTAACAAGACCTTTAAGAAAATAGTTGTGTAAAATGTGCTCTACAGGAGAACAAACAATAGTTATTACTAACAGCTGGTGGGAAACCACTAAGGAATCGGTTTCTTCTTCCTTGCTCCTTAAATGGGGAAATTGAGGCTTCCCCAGTCGTTAGCATTCTCAATAGCAGAGGGCGCTCAGTTCAGTGAAAAGGCTACAGGGGCATGAGGTGTTCTGGTCACCTTGGCCACTTTAGGGTTATGAATCAGCACCTGGGATCCTTCCACATGGCACCTAGAGGCACAGTGGAAGGTAGTTTCTCAATCTGCCATAATCCTAAACTTAAATTCATTGTGTGAAACTACTTGGCAGTTTTTACATTTGTAAACTGTCTCTCCTGCTTTGATCTTGTCACATAACAAGTATGGGGCAGGTCAGAACACTTACATCTATGTCTTAAGATATGTATGTGACTTTTTTCCTTGGCCTGTTACGAGATTAATGTTAACATAAGTATAACTAGGCATTTTTCATAAGCCCTAGGTAGATCTTCTGCAGGTGTGCCTAGCAGTTAGTCTTGCTTTTATATACGTGTTGTGTGTGTCAGCGTGAGGGGTGCACCAGAGTGCATCCTAAGTCAACCTAGTCAGCACTAAAATACATCAGGACCTTGGTGTATAATTGCATTACTTCTGTGATGCTGCATAACTTCCCTGGCTTTTAAAACTGAGTAAGACCTTTTCCAACTGGCCGATGATAAATAGTTGTGGTAGTTACAGTTTTGCTGAGAACTGGCTTTAGGAAAGATGTCAGTACAGATGCAGACTGCTGAGTTGTCCTGGATGCCATCTCCAGGGGGAGCATCTCTTCCGGTCCCCGCCCAGCCAGAGGCGGGCTGTGGCTGCTTCAGTTCTCACACCTGGCAGTGGCTGTGCCTCTTGGGTGGGAGGCTGGAGGTTTTGAGCCAGTCCTAGGTAGTTTTCTATCCTGAATATTCAGCGTCTAACTTGTACTGCAGCCTGTCTTCTCAACAGATGCCCGCTGTGGGCAGTCAAAAGGCAAGGACACTGTAAAAAATGATGTTAAGTAAGATTTTTAGAGACATTCAGTAACTTTTAACTGAAAGTCAAAGATGGGAAGACAGTGCTTCCTTTCCAAAACTAAGTAGAATAAAAATGGGTAACTCTGGAAGAAGACATTTTCTTCTGAAATGTCTATACAGACCATCTTTCTCAAACGCAGTGTGTGTAAAATTTAAATGATTCCTTCCTCAATAGCCATAGGTAAGTGTGGGAGAAAGTGCTGCAGGTGGCGGGATCTTTGGTTGTGGAAGGAAGCAGAGTCAAGTCCCAATCCATTGTTCTTAAAATTTTGAGACGACAATTTTAATTTTATGGCTTATAACGTAAGATAATGCCTCCACCAGCCAGTTGAGAACTACTTATAGGTACTAGGAATAAAGAATGAAGAAAGCATTCATAAAAGTATTACTCTGGGCTCTGGGATGGCAGATGATGAGAATGATACTCTCAAAGGCGCTGTCTGTGGAGAAAGAGAATTCTAGGATGCTGTGTTAGCATCTGTTTCCCACAATTTCTTGATTGCTAAAATATGAAAGCCTTTCATTTTTATCTGCATTAACAAAAAATGTATCTACTAAATGGAGCAGTTACAGAGAACTCACTGGGTAGTGAGGTCCCTCTTAGTACAGGAGTGTTTGGTTTGATGTCCCCGACTCCCCTGGCCAGGGCTCTTCTGGCCCCCTAGTGGCCTCTGTGCCCTCAGGCTGCACTGCAGGCATCAGTGCTTCACCAGTCTCACCTGAGCTTATTGTGGTTCTGATTTTATTACTGGATGTGCTAATTATCCTTAATAGTTTGTTTATTTTCTGTGTTCTTGCTGGTTAGCCAGTGGCTTCACCAGTTGATGTGGGTACTATTTTAGGCACTGGGGCTTAGTGAAAAGTCAACATGTCTGCTTTCATTAAGTTTTTTCTTTGTCCTGTTATCTGGGGGATTTTTTTTTTAACCTGCTTTCCAGAGGTGTGACATTGCAAATATAACCTCTAGTTGCCACTTTACCCAGGGAATATTAGCATATGAATTCTAAAGTTAAGTATGGATACTTGAAGCTGTCTGCTTTGTATTCCCAGTGTTTTGCAAAGCATATTCACGGTTCGGTTTAGCGGCATTGCAGAGTGTGGAAGGAGCGAACCTGACCCACTACTGACTGCTGGTTCTTCATTTCCGAATGCTGTGAACTCCTTAGAGATTGTGAGGACTTCATCACCTGGCACACTTGGGGGACCTGTGCCTCTACCTCTCCCCCTACCCCCATCATTTTTTTCCTAAGGTGCCCTGCTTGCCACTGACTCCTGGAAAGTGACAGCGTGTTCCATAGTGCAGATGTGGGGTCCATGGAGGATTAAGAAAAGCTCCTAGTGGAAGCCGCAGTCTAACGCCTCTGGTTTTAGAGCACACCTGAATTTGAAGAATGCTTTTGGCTTGATACCTGTGCAGACTTCTATTATTTTCCCGACTACACAAATCATACTGTTCTGTCTCTGTCTCTCTCTCTCTCACATACTAATCATTCAGAAATTGGGTTTCTCATTCTGTACATTAGCATCCTTGGGGAATAATCTAGAACTGATTTACACAGTATAATTGGAAATGACTTATGTGCCTCTAAAATTAGAACTAATTAAAGCTGCAAAATTTAGTTCTCCCTATTTTAAATGTTTATTTGAAAGAAATGTTTAGCACTGAGAGTTATTTGTTATGTGTATTCTTTGGCCCAGAAATAATTCTAGGTATTTGAGTTAAGAGCCAGAAATGTGCACAAAGCTGTGTTTATGAGGATGTTAATTATGATATTCATGATAGTGGAGAAAAGTGAAGCAACCCAGACAGCTGCAGGGAATTTGGTTAGGTGCATTATAGAGTCGTATGGCAGATTAAAGATGAGTTGATAATGGGATTCATGCCATGGTAAATGGATAAAGCAAAGTGTAGCAGTGATTTGTTAGAATCCTTTTTGGTAAAAACACAGTCATGTTAAGATTAGACACCAGCTATCAGATGGGAGGGCCTGTCCCTGAGAAGTGAGGGTTACCAGGGTCTGGGGGGTCTTTGTGCCCAGTATGCATTGCTTGAGGGAAAGTGATTAGACATGTGCATTAGCATCTCCAGAATACAGAGATGATAATCTTGTACACACTGTGCATGTGTAGCTTCAGCTCCAAGTTTCTTGGAACTAAGACTTTTAATGTTTTCAATTTTATTGTATTTTGGTGCTCAGATCAAATGCCAGTCTGGGGTAGTATGGTCACAGACTGGTCTTGAGTCTCAGACTTTACATTATTTTTTGTTAATGAAATTAGTATATATTTTTTGAAAATCAGGATTGTTTTAATGGTTTATATGTTGTCACTTAAGAATTGTCTTAGCATTTCTTTTGAAAACCACTTGATGAATTTGAAAAAGTTAGAATTATCTCTAGGTTATATAACTACTTTGTGTTCTCCAAATAACAGTCTGAGAATTAGGATTTTTGCCATCAAGTAAATCTGTAATAGGTATGTGAAATTCTATAACTTTTAACTGAAACTGCACATTTCAAGGGTTATTTTTTACTGTGGAAAATTAAGTTTCTCAGTAGTGTACTAAGCTCATTAGTGGTCTGTAGATATTTAACAGTTTAAAGCATTTAGTGATCCCCAAAAGGAATGAAAACGTGTTTTAGGTTTTCTTATTACATACAAAGGAATCTGACGTAATCTTTGTTTTCTGTGCAGCTCAAAGCTTGGATCATGCCATGCCACTAGTGAATGGCGAGACAGAAGATGAGGCTGACAAAATGCACATTGATAGAGAGTTTGCCGTTGTAACAGGTGGGAGTGGACAGTTTCCTGTTAGCTGCAACAACAATCCAGTGGTTGAAGACACCAAACAACAGGAGAGTGCTTCTGTTGGACCAAAAGAAATAGAAATATATACTGTTTCAGCAATGCAAACCCCTTGTCGTTGCAAGAATCAGTATGCATATTATTTCTAACATACGTTTTTCTTAAACTTTTTTTGCACTTTGTTTTCCAGTGTCTTTACAAAATGTTATAATTTGCATATCTTGGGCAAGTTTGTAGATAAAAGGATAAGTGTTTTGGGTGCATTCTGTCAATATGAAACATAAGTGCAATCTTCCTATTCTGATTTGAAGGTGTTGCTTAATGTGCCTTGCTTATTTTTGATGAAATTTGCATTTTTAATTTGCTGACATGTGACCTTTGGTGAATATTCTGAACCATGCTATGGCTAGTGTTTTCAAAGCAGTCTACTGCAAGGATGACTACTGGCGGTAAACATTGAGAACTCGTAGATGTGGTTTTGATGATATGGAATCTTTTACCCAACACTCTTGGTGGTTTTGGTTTCTTTGGCCTTCACTCTATTAAATGCTGAACACTGTGTTTCACAAAACACATTTTAACAGTTAACATTTTTAATACACTAAAACAGTAGTTCTGTTTCCAATTTGTAAAAGGTAGAAGCTCAGTTCTTGTAGCATTTAGAATATCTAAAAAAGATTTTTCCATTTAGCTAATGCTTTTTTCTACTGTTATTTAAATGACTACAGTAACGTTTTAGTCATTCTCTTAACCTGTTACAGAAGTAGATATTTAATACTTTTTTTAAGTTATTATTATGTCTCTATGGTAAATTCTTCACTGGACATAAAAGAGTATGTATTTTGTTTACCAAATCCATATGAAAAAATCATTTCTGTTCATTAAAATTAAAAGAAAATGTATGCCTCTTTCTGGAAGCTACAGAATTGTTACGGGTAGTGTAGCCTTTTTGCCAAATAACTAAATGAAACTGGTAGATTTTCCAAAATAAATTCTGATTGGATAGTACATTTAAAATAATAGATTTTCTGTAATTAGGAGCTATTTGTGGCTGAAGATACAAAACAGAACTCAAAGCCTGCTTTCTAAAAAATGGCATTGTGTGCTTTTGGACAGGCGGAAGTAATTCCTCTTTATTCCTCAAACATTAATTCCTTGGTAAACTTCATCTGAGGTTGAGCATGATGGTGAAAAAGCCACGCTTTATTCCAGCCCACATGCCAGATGCTACCTATGCGTTCCCCCTCTCCATTGTTTGATTTGTAACACTCTGGCTGAATGAACAAAATGTCTTGAATCAGTGGCGGTTACTCACAGTTTTCCTCATGTGAAATAGCATTCCATGTCCACTAAAAGCTGAGGGAACTGCCACTTCTCTTTGAGAATTGTCACCAAAGTCAGGGTGTTCTTTAAATACTTCCCATTTGTTTTTTGTTCTGGTGAGATTATTTTCAAAGATTATAATACATTTCTGAAAAACTATGCACAAATGTCTTTTTTTTGCCCCAATTCAGCAGGAATGTCTTCATTTTTTTAAATGTCCCTAGTTCGAGACTCAGGGTAGGGGTGAGGAGGGTCCTTATGTCCAGAGAGGGAGCACTCACGTTAGGACATGTTTTCTTAGCAATCCAGATCTTCCGTCAGAGGGGCTGCAGGTGAGGAAGGATGTTGGCAGAAGCTTCATCCCAGGCTGACCCTGGCTGCCCTTGGATGTCGGTGGAACCTCGGGGTGGCTGGACAGTCGGTGAGAAGGAAGTGCAAGTCTTGACAGGCAGTTCAGAGCAGAGGAGAACGTTGGTGAGAGCTAGAGGCGGTGTGGGCCCAGTCAGCAGGTCTCTGGAACGTCTGCTCTGTTTTTGCTGTTTTATTAGATTTTCCGTAACAGTAGGAAGTTACCAACTAACCTTGATTCTGAGATTAAGTAATAGAACTAATTTACTTGGCATTAAAGAAAAATTCTCCTTTATTTCAGTAAACTACATACACACATAGTGAACCATGATAACTGTCTAGGTTGCCATCACATAAATATGAGTTTTATCTCCCAGGAAAGGTTGTTTATACTTTATTTTTGAAAAAAATTAGTTTAAATTTCCCCTGGGAATAACTTGTTTCGTTTCATTTTGTTTTTATTTTATATTTAGTCTTTGAAACACTTGTTCTCTAGTCTTCAGTTTTAACTAAATAGAAAAGCTATCATTGAAATTGAAAAAAAATTCATTTTCTGAAGAATTTGTAGTAGTTATAATCTATGATTATTGCTTATATTGCCAAAAAATTGACGATTAATGGAATGTTTAGAAGATGTTTTTGTTCATTGAACAAGCTGTTATCTTTTGGTGGCAGGAAGACTTCCAGGACACAACAGAAACCTCTGTCAGAGGTATATAGGTGGTGAAATGGAAGGGAAGCCCTTTATGGGAAGAGTCACACGGTGTGTGAGGTGTTAGGGTAATCAGATGTATTTAAACTCTGTCCTTATTCTAAAAGTTATTAGAACTGAGCTCTTCTATATTTAATTTCATGCCTTGCTTTGGTAATGTAGAACATTGAGATAAAATTTAACATTACTGAGCAAGCGATAATTTTATATTATCCTCTATACTGTTCTGTGACTTCCTGTGAACATGAATATTATTAATTCTCAAGTTCCAGTATACAGAAAAATAACTTGTAACTGCCTGTCCTGGTGTGCCCAAATATTTTGTGGTGGGCTTTTCTTCCGTAAGACATCTCCCTCCTAATGGATGTCTGTATATGCAGATTAAACTATCAGCATTTTTTCTGGGCATGGTGGCTCATGCCTGTAATCCCAGTACTTGGGAAGCTGAGGTGGGAGGATCGCTTGAGGCGAGGTGTTCAAGACCAGCCTGGGTAATATAGCAAAACTCCATCTCTACAAAAAAAAAATAGAAAAACTAGCCCATTGTGTTGGCGAACACCTGTAGTCCCAGCTACTCAGGAGGCTGAGGCAGGAGGATCCCTTGAGCCCAGGAGTTTGAAGTTGCCGTGAGCTATGATGATGCCACGGCACTCCAGCCTGGGCAATGGAGCAAGACCTTGTCTCACAAGGAAAAAAAAAAAACTAAGTAAACTATCAGCATTTTTTCTGGCATAATGTAATAAAATGAAACCTTGACCATCATAGTCATTTTAATTGCTGGACTCAGAAGAAACTATTCAGAATTGTGCTGTTGGCCCAAGACTGTGTGCATTAGAATCATTAATATTCATAGTTCCTTGCTGTAGTTGCTGATTTCTCTGTATTCTGCCAATGCTTTTAATGTGGCATTTTGCAGAAGTACTACATAGGTTTGAGTGTTACTAAGAAAAAATTTGTTCCTTTTAATATTCCTGTGCATGCTTCCCTGACTTTTGAGGAGAGAAGATTTTTAAAAACATTATATGATGCTGTCCTACATAGTGTGAAGAGCTTTCTTAATTCACCTGCTTCATTTATCTTTTTTCCTTAAGAACTAGAGAATTTTTGTGTTTTGTATTAATATGAACCCTTTGTAGAAAACCTTCAGTTCTGATGGACCTTTTCAAGGGTGATTTTTAAAACAGCTCTGTGAAAGTAATCTTAAAACAAGAACAGTTTTTTGATGGCTTTTTAGTACTGTGTTGGTATTTTTCACGGAGTATATTCGTTGGCTTATATTTTTTAATTTAGCTACTCAGTGCTACTAAAATGCATGTATTTTTCCGATCTTACTAGGGAAATACTATTGTTTTATTTTTAAGTCTACCTATGCACATTGTTTTTTCTTTGGACAAGAAACTGGTTTGTTTAAAAGAAAAAAAAAAAAGAAAAGAAACTAAATTCTTTAAAGGCTTAGCAACAATGAAGCATTTTATAGTTTCTCCTCTCCCGCTGGTTCTGAATTTTGGTGACAGGTGTATTTCTTAATGCAGATATGAAAAACAGTAGCTCCGTATCGAGTACATTGACAAATGGATGTGTCATCAGTGGACATTTGGACTTCTCCTCCACGAGCCAGCTCAGTGGGATGGAAAGCAGGAATGGCCAGTGCTTGGCAGGATCTACTGGCATTAGCAGTGGATCGGTCCCAGGACAGCCGTTTCCCAGTAGCCAGGGTTCGCTCTCTGTTAACGGGACTGAGGAGCCAGAAAAGACCATGAGCGTTAACCCTGAGATGTGCGGTTCTCTGCACTTGAATGGGAGTCCAAGCAGCTGCATAGCCAGTAGACCTTCCTGGGCAGAAGACATGGGGGACAATTTGCACTATGGACATTACCACGGGTTTGGGGACACTGCCGAAAGCATCCCTGAGCTGAACAGTGTGATCGAGCATTCCAACTCAGTGAAGGTGGAGGAGCGGTACGACTGTGCCGTCCTGGGTACCATGCACCTGTACCACGGCTCTTAAGTTCAGCGGCCTGGCCCTCAGAGACGCAGCCATTCTCCCTGGTAGCCAACTCAGAACACTGATGTAGCATCAACTTGAAGTAATGTCATGACTTGTACTGTTTTTTATGCTTTCTGAAAAAGTAAACTTACTCGACAAGTTCCCAGTGAGTGCTCGTTTGTGCATGAGTAGGGCTTACCTAGTGCGTAGATGTTTCTACAGTGGGGTATTGGTCCTTTTATAAAATGCACTTTTGGAGGTCAATTTTTCTGATGCCAGTCTCAATATTTTGTTTTTAATACTGTCACCAGATACTGCCATTTTCCCTTTTGTCAAATTAAATCACACACTCAAGATAAACTGGGGCAGTAAAGGAGGTGCCTGGTACCTGATCTCTGTTTGCACAGAGTCGTTTTCAAAGCTCGCTTTCACTCTTCCCTGTAGAATCTGCGACACAACACAGCTGTTTCCCTATGCAAGGTACAGAGACTTCTTGGCAGTGATTTGTATGAAGAAAAGAACATTTGTCTTTTCCAGTGTGTGTCATTGAAGCTTGGCAAGTTGCCTTGTGGACACACAGTGGCTGGGGGTCAGCAAGCCCCCGTCATGCTGCGGCTTGCTGCCTTGGGCCGCAGCCTGGCCAGTTCTGTTCATTGTGTTTTTATTCCACATCCCCTACTTGGTCTCTAGAACATTTACCACGGATAACAGATTCCTTTATATGTAGTGGAAGTTACTGTTTGTAGGAACTGTCAGGTCAAAATATTTAACTGACTCTTTTGACTTATATTTTCTTTTTTCCTTGTTCTTTGGGGGTTTTCTGCTTTAAATATACACCACTATATATCCAATTAACTGAGAGAATTTTGTCTCTCTCTTAATAAAACTGCATTAAGTTCAAGATTTTATAGAAATTAGCTTTTGTTTAGGCAACTAGTGGTTGCACTGTGCAAATATTGTAATGAATTTTTACTTTTCTGATTTTTGTAATAAAAATTGGTGCACATAGAGAAAATGTCCAATGAACAAACCAATGTTCTAAGAGTGTTACTGACATTTTGTTTTAAAACTGTCCTTTACAAATTTAATAAAAAACTCTCACACTCAGTTTGTTCCTGGGGTGCAGTTTCTTTCTAGGGTGGGGTTGGGGGAGAAGGTATCGGTGGAAGGAATGGGAGGGGAGGTTGAAGTTTAGTATCGTGTTTTACTTTGCCTGTGATTTTACTTTGTTCTGATTCTCTTCATATAGTATTTTTTTCACTTCTGATTTGTTAATGTACTCTGGTTTTATGGGCACGTTGTCTTACTGAATCTCTGTAGGGGAAGTATAAATTGCATGTCAGCCATCCCAGTATCCTCCCTGGGTGCTCGTTTTCATCAAAGACAGCCAAAATGTCCTAAACTTCTTTGGCTTTAGCAAATATTAATATAAGCCTTTTAAGAATATAAATTTTAGTTCATGGCAACAAAATAGCCATTCTGGCATGCCTACATATGTTGTTTAAAACATTCGTGCCTTTATGCACATTATTGTAAAACAGTAGATTGGAGTGAGGGAACATTAAATTTTGGAAGTTTTGCAGAATGACGCCAAGGGCAGGGAGAGGGTGCACGGCGCTGTCACTGCTGCCGTCACTGTTGCCGCCTCCCGTGCATGGCAGGCAGCGGGGCTCAAAGACCATTTTAACAGACAGATTCAAGAAGCCACCCACACCACTCTGAGTTGAGATAAATGAAACTTAGTGCCATCCCCTGCATGGACTATTTTTTAAGGTATTTCAAAGACCTTATAGTGAGTTAATATTTACTGGAAAACGTTCAGTGGAGCTGTAATAGGTGTCTGAAATTCCATGACTTTTAACTGAAACTGCATATTTCAAGAAATATTTTTTACTGTGGAAAAGTAAAAAGTACTCAGTATAGATAGTACTAAGCTCATCAGTGAACTGGGCAGCAGAGGGTGGGGTGCCAGCGACTATGTGGGTGAGGGGCAGGGGGCCTCTGGTGGCTGGGCAGGTGTGTGCCAGAGTGGGTGAGGGTGTGTGAGCATGTACCAGGAATCCCGGTGCAATGCCTCGGCTCAAGGTTTCTTGGGAGGCTGTGATGCAGTTGCCAGCCAGGGCTGTGGTCTCATCTGAAAGCTCGCAGGCTCTGGGAGGCTCTGCTTCAAAGCCCACTCACGTGGCTGTGGCAGGACGCAGCTCCTCCGGGGCTGCTGGGCTGAGGGCCTCAGTTCTCTGCTGCTTGTCGGCTGAGGCCACCCCCCTCCCGCCCCCCGTTCCTCACCACATGGGCCCCTCCATGGGGAAACTCACGCCATGGCAGCTGGCTTCCCTCAGAGCACGAGAGGAGCTCCAAAACGGAAGCCACAGCCTTTTGGTGGCCGTGGCAGCATCACGTGTGCTGCCTCTGTCCGCTGGAGCTGGGTCACTAAGTCAGCCAAGGGCACACCAGAGCTAGAACACGTCTCGGACACTACCTGCCACAGACATGGACATGGATGTTCATGGTAACAGTGAAAAATTGGAAACAACATAGATACCCAACAAGGCAGGGATGGGCCCATAAATTACTGTATAATTATGAAATGTAATACTGTACAGCAGTTAATAAACACCAACGAGGTCTTCGCATATGACTCGATGCTAAGTGAACAAGTTGCAGAGTGCTATGTTCAGCACAGCCCCACAGAGGCCAGTTCGAAAATACACCCACACCGTGTGCTACCATCTATGTTTCTGCATGCAGACACAGATGTCCCTGAAGAATGGAGCACCTGAGTGGGAAGGGTGGCCACCGCCTGCAGAGGGCGCCCAAGAGGTGGGAAGGGATGCCCATGGAGGAGGTATCAGATTTTTGACTTTATTGCCTTTTATTTTTTTAAGGAAGAACTGAAGCCAATTGCATTAAACAATTTTTTAAAGAGCAAAATAAGAAAGACCAAACTAGAGCAGCTCTGCCTGGTTTATCTCAGCCTCCCCTTGATCTTTCCCTCTCATCTTTCTGCAGCTACCCTCTGCGAGGCACCGCCCTGAACGTTAAGGTTGCAGGATGGTTTTGAAAACAGCTTCGGTTTTTCTGTTCTGCCGTTACGACTGCCACACAGCTTATGACTGCCACACAGCGCGCTCACCAGTGAATTTAATTACAATGTTTTTAGAAACAGCTACAAAATTGCAAGTCGGATGCATCAGCGGTGGAGCCAGTCCCATTCCCTCTCCACTGAAGGATATCTTTCCATTACCCTCATCTGCTGCTGCAGTCTTTCTGACAGTTCATATAATTCAAGATAATTGAAGCCTGTTTTGCAAGCAAAACAACATGAACCACTATATGAAGTAGCACATTAAGGCTTTAGTTCATAACGATGACACTTTTCCTTATTTCAGTGATTTGGACATTCTCTCTGGAGGAGAAAGGGGGTCTGTGGAAGACAACCAAGAGAACAAGGCAACTTTTATCCCTGGCAATGTGGGATCTGCACCCGAGGCGGGAAGAACACAGGAGAGAAATTACAGCTATTGAAGTACCCTCAGTGGGTTGCATAAAACGAACAAAAGCGATGATATATTTTCCAGTAATGAACACCATTTGCATGCTCTCCCTCCTGCCGGCATCCTAGGTAATTAGATAAACTCACAGCAAAGGGAAGTGATGTGGCGTTTTCCATGTGCAGGGAAAATTCCCCTTGGTGGACAGAGCCTAGTGACCAGCTCTGGGGTCCGTCCACGGGAGCAGAAAGCAAGCCGCCAAATGTTGGATTAGGAGGCAAATCACTTACTCAAGCAACAATAAATTCTCCCAGCAACAATAGAAAGAAAAAATACACCAGACTGTGACTACCAGAGGGAAAACTGAGAGCCTTCGACAGTTAGTCTGTCCCTCTGGTTCACGGCGCCCCACCTCGGGAGCCACCTTCCTTTCTTCTGTTACAGTCACTGGCGTGGTGTCTACATCCCGACGGAGCTGATGAACGTGGTGTGACGGGTACAATGAGTGAGCCGGTTCTCACCCGCCTGGGATGTTGGCCTTCCAGAAACACGGGCCCCCGGGAGCCATCTGACCTGTCGGGCTGGAACAAACCGTGTGCAGCTCCGCGTAGAATGTCAGTGTTCGTGGCAGAGCTTTGAACCACGACACAGCTTTGTACAGGCAACACCTGCCCCCTGCCGTGCCTGTGTGAGCAGCCCACACCACAGCGACTGATCGCTCTGAGAGGCTGTTCTGGTGGAGACCACGGGATGTGGGCACCGTCCTCCCTGCCAGGCCTGGGCCAGAGGAGGAGCAGGACAGGGAGAAACAGCGGGATGGTTTATGGGATTGTTTATGGGAGTAAAGTGCAGGATGACTATAAGATATCTCTGAAAAGTAGCACTTCAGGGAAGTCTCCTTAGGGCTCTTTTTTTTTTTTTT